CCCCAAAACCCCAAAACCCCAAAACCCCAGATGAAAAAAGGATGCCATTTAATATAATTTTTTATAAAATTCTAATTAATTTGAATATCAGCTTATAAATATTTATTACGATGCTCATTAGACATATTTATAGCATGCAAATATCTTAATAGATACAAATACTAACACGAATCACTACGATTTCAATTTATTCTATACTTTTTTCATGGGTTTGGTTTGATCTATAGTAGATTAGAATGTCAATCCAAGTTCTTTTTCAAAATTCTGTTCCTTTATAGTCATTATATCTGAAATAGTTGTGCAGTGCTTAGATAGAGGCTTGAAACTCTTCTCAACTCTTACATCCATGGTGGATTCTACTTTTAAATCATCAAATTCTGATAAGTTATCTATATCTCCATTATTATCATACTAGTCATTCATAACTATACTGCCCTGACTAGCTAGTTTGGGTGTCATATTTTGGTTATCCCAAGGAGTTAACTTGTCCTGCTATTTACCTTTATTGAAGTTTTGGAGTTTAGAACCCCAACCTGTCTTTTATTGATCTATTTCGTCATCATCGTCATATTAGTCAAAATTATTGCTGTTTGTATTCTTACGCTTGAATCTTTATCTATTTTACCTCGTAAGAAAGGATATTTACTTCTTCATAATCTCCTATCTTTAGGTAAACGGATCCATGTATCTCGGAGACTAATTTTGATTTATATTAACCTTAGTTGATATGATATTTGATGATTAATTGTTAATGACTTGATCTGGTAGAGCGAACAAGTGATTCGGCTTTTGATTTATTCTGTTGAGCTAGTTATATTCAAATAGACACTTCTCAGATTAGTCTTAATTCTAGGAATTCTAATTGTAGACATTCTTGAGTTAGGAACTGTTTTTAGATTACCGAGAATAGTCTGTAGACTGCTGATATTCCACATCGCCAAAGTTATAGTAATTTTGAATTGAATAGGGATCTGAGAGTTTTTTATCATTCATAGTCAACTACAGAATCTAAATTTTGTTATTGTTTTACATTTCTTAAGACCCTTTTTTATATTTTCTAAACCGATCTAATTGTGCTTTATCTTATTCCATAAATTGATTCTTAAAGTATTCCCCTTGATACCCCATAACTCTGAGCACTGATGCAGGATTTTTATTAACATTTTTATTAGTATCAGACATTTTAGCCTCCTTCGCAATCTGCAGATATTTCCTATTTAAGCTTCCTGCTTACTTCTTTTCTCTCTTAGATGACTAATATGAAGATAAAGAGTCCTAGTTAGGTATAGACATCAGCTTTATCTTATTTAAAGGGCTAGGTATTCTTTAGCCATTTCTATTCACAGATTTGCTCTGATATGTTAAGTTGTGAGGACTTAGGCTCTCAATTGTTCCATTTGTTTATTATTAATTGGTGTAAGCTCCCAATTGACTCTGATTCTTTTTGTTAATTTGAATTTCTGGCAATTTTATCTATTGAAAATAACTGTAAGTTTCGCCAACACCACTTTCAAGCAATTGACATATTGATGGACTACTCAGCTGAGAATATTATTTTATATTTGGCTAAGAAAGTATAGGATTTTCGAGTTATTCCATAAGCTGAGTATCCTCAAACTTCTCATCAATTTAAAGAGGTTGCAACTATGGATTTTTATCCTGTTGAGATTAAAGCTCTTGCTATTAATAAAACGATTATGATGTCAGAGTAAACAAAAAATCATTGTCTCTTCCATATCTTTAGTAATTTTGCTTAGGAGATACATTATTTATTCTTGAGTGAGGAGATACAGAGTAATTACCCTTATTATACTAAAACTTATGATCTAGCTAGCCCTTGAAAATTCTTGCTAATTTCATCGTAGCGTTACCTTTCTAAAGGTTTCCTTGAAGCCCATTACTAGATCCAGCTGTCATTATGGTGCTGAAAGCCTGCGTCTATGAATCCTCTCTCTTTTTGAATATTTAGGCAGGATTGACAAATTAAACCACTACTTTCTTAGAAATAGTCCCTCTTGTTAAACTTTTGCGTAAATCATTACTTAATTCAGTGTTACCAAGTATTTTAACTCTAAGTTAATTCTTTCTTCATGTATTTTAATTGCTCTTCCAATCGCCCATAGTATTAGCCAGACTATTAGAATTTTTACTTACAACTGATTATAGCATAGTTTCTACACTCTTTGGTGAATTTGGCTGTGTAAAAGGTGAAAGTCTTTTGTCAATTGGCAACTAATTTGTAAGGAGTTAGCAGAATCTCTGAATGTCTGGAGATTTGACTTAATTAGAAAATTATTTTTCTTTCAAATATTTAAAGGTATTGTCTTTGCTTTATTCGAAGGAAGAGCTTATCTCAAGATTTCCATCTGGTTGGAATTATTTGACCTATAGAAGTTTTCTTTCATTATTAGTGTGTGGAATGTGATTGCTAGATATTGCATTTTGGTATTTTTACTATTGCATTTCCATGATGCTTTTTTATAGAACAGTTTATTATAACATCATATTCATTAATATTAAAAAAATTAATAAATTAGAAAAATTGATCGGAGTAATTAAATCGATGGCCGTAAAGAAGTATTCAGACCTCCAGAAAAAAGCTCTTCTCTTCTACAGAGACTATCTTAAATTTGCTGCTACCAAATAAGATGTAATGAATCATACTTATAATATTTGATTGAATTTTAATGAATTATCTTATAGCCATTGAAAACTAACCTACAGCAGCATGCAAGGGCAATAATGGAACAATACAGAGTAATTCCGAAAAGAAATTATTAGTATTAGGAATTGCAACTCAGAATGGAATCTAACAAACTAAATATCCTTAAGACATCTAATATAGATAGAGTTAGTTTTTGAAAGAATTGAAGATAATTCAAATAAATTATCTTCTCATTTTTATTTCAATGAATCTCTCAATTTCGACTTCTAGGGGTTTTGGGGTTTTGGGG